CTGAGGCAGGAGGGTTGCAGGTTTGAGCCTTGGCAATTTTGAGAGATGTTATCTCAAAGTTAAAAAAAAAAAAAAAAAAAAGGCTAGAATGTAGCACAGTGGAAGACTGCCCACGGGTTGATTCACAGTATCTAAAATAATAATTATTGACTCAGATGAATGAGGAACTCCTGAAACCCTGATGAATCTTGCCAGAGGGATGGTACTGATTTGATTGGGTTAGCCCAAATGAGGTTCACTCCTACAGGTCCTGAATGAGGTAAATTCTTTCAAAGAGAATAAAACTACTGAGAGCATCTTTGTGCCAGGATCCCACAAAATAATTTTGAAAAGATTTGGATCTCCTATATATTTTCTGTTTTCTTTTCTTTTTTTTGAGACAGGATCTCACTGTGAAGTTCAGCTGGCCTCAAACTTGCTATGTAACTCAGCCTGACTTCAAACTCGTGATTCTCTGGCCTCAGCCTCCCAAGTGCTGGGATTCCAGGCATGCCCCACCATGCCCAGCTTCCATTTCTTATCCCAAATTTTAATAATTGCAAAGGATATTGTTTTTGATGGATTATAAATTTTGACATTTCAAAATAAAACCTTGTCCCAATTATCAGGTTATTTAACTGTGGTTGCACGTGCTTCCCACATTCTTCATCTTGTCAGTAACCTCTTAGCATATCTTTCTTTTCTCCTTCTATACCTTTGTTTGCCTCTCTGCCTCAGTAATCTCAAGTATGGCTTGTCTAATATCCCCAAGTTCCTTAATCTCTGTCTTCCACACATCTCCCCAAATTCCAGCCTCCCCCAAGGAAGCCAAGAGTACCACTGGAGATATTCAGAAGAGTATGCCCCGTGGTGCCTCCTTAACCAATGCTTTCTGTAGTCTCTTCAGGAGGTTGCAAGGTTAAGCAACATGATGTCTGTAAATGGCTTAGCACATATCCCATAGTAAGTGCTCACCATCCTTTTGCACAGCAAACTGTCAGTGTGTCTTCACTTATCTCCTTTTTTTTTTTTTTGTATTTTAGTACAGGGTCTACAGGATATTACTACATGGATTGGACTCATTCTCCTGTTTTCAGCCTCCCAAGCCCTGGAATTTCAGGCGTGTACCACCACACCCCATTTCAGTTGCTGTTTCAGAGTGCCCTGGGTGGGGCTGGCATGGCATGCCAGAGATTGGAACTCTAAGCAGGTGCTTTGGTCCACTGAGCTATCTGACCTGCCCTCCCTTCTTCTATATTTGTCCCAACATTGTATATTATATTGAAGTTAAAACATCCTGTCTGGGGGCTGGGGAGATGGCTCAGTGGAATAAGCACTTGCCTGGCAAGCGCAAGGGCCTGAGTT